ATAACTTTACTTGCTCTTAGCTTCTAGACTTGACTCTTAACTTCTCTTGACTTTGATCTTAACTTTATTTGAATTTAATTATGGATTCACGGTTCGTGATCTAATGTTTATGGATGATTTTATGATGTTCAACTTAGAGGGTTCATGAGGCATCATGAGCATGAACTACTCAACTCAAGGACTCAAAGAAGACACTTCTTGTCTAAAGATTGTTCAACTTATAGGGTTCATGCAAAATTATGAGCATGAAATACTGAACTCCAGGACTTCATGGGTAACATGTAATAGTCCCATTATAAGGAATATAATCTCAATAGTAATAAGAACTCAATACTTAGAACTTAGAGATACTACTCGTTTCAATGATACTCAATTTATAAAATTCATGCGAAAGTTATGGACATGAACAATTAGACTCAAGGGTCAAAATATTAATAAAGGAACTCATGTATACGACTCTTCTCATTCTCATACTTACTAACTTAAACCTTAGTTCAAATCGATAGTTTACCTCAAACGATTCACTATTGATGAACTCAAAAGCTTTCTTGAACTCTACTCTTAACTCTCTCTTGAATGTGAATTATCAATTCAAGAGTTATGGTTCATGATATGAAAGATCTATTTGATAGTGTAAAATCATGAATACATTATCCTCACTCTCATGCTCACTTGCTCGAGTTTTGAAACAAGTTATTAAAAGTTGTAGAATACTCCATAAAATGATCCAAATTTTTTTTAGAATGTTCAAAAGAATTCTCCAAAGTTAATTCTCAACTCTACCTTGAATTTGAATTATTAATTCAAGGTTATGATCATGTTAGGAATGATGTTAGGTGCTTAGAAATAGCTTAGAGTAGTTAGAATCGAAAGGGAGTTAAGGTGCACTTTAAACGAACTCAAACAGAGCAACGAAAGAAAAACTTGATAGGGCAGGCGACCTTGGCACTATGGGTGGCGTGGGGCGCCAACTCTTAAAGTTTAGAGGAGGGTTTGGGGTGCTCTGGCAGGCGCATCGCGCCATGCCCCAACCCAGAAAATCCAGCAATTTTGTAACTTGTTTTCTCACCCTATTTTGCCTAGAATCGAACTGTTTCTTCCCCAATCACTTGAATACGATTACTTAACTTAATAACAGTCCAATCTACCGAAAACAACACTCAAATTAATCAATTTCATCTCAAGAAATCATCAAAACCCCAACACAACAAGATTTAGAATGAACTACAAGAACACCTATCAAGAACTCAAATCTTTCAACTTCAAGAATGAAATTTTGCTGAAAATAATATAATTGGTGTGTGGGTGAACTAAATCAACACTATGGAAGCTTACATACCTTTTAGGTATTAAACCAATAGCGAAAATCCGCTACTAAACTCATGAACGTTGACGCACGCCTTCATCCTTTCCTCTTTTCTCTTTTTTTTTTCTCTTATTGAACTCTCAAGTAAAACTCTAGGCGTATATTAGGATTATAAAACTGAACCAAATAGGATTAGCCCCTAAAAATATTATTAAAAACGAATTAAATCTGATTGGATAAGAAAAAGACTAAAATGCCTCTCACTATTTCCGGCTAACTTTCCCTAACTAGACAACCTAATTTCAAAAGGCCATATCTTGCTCATCCGAACTCGAAACTTAACAAACTTGGTGTCGTTGGAAAGATAAGTCAAACTTGGTAGCACACCTAACTCATCATGTAGTAGGAGTTATGGTCGTTTGAAGTTGACCTAAAAATCATATTTAATTTTACTCTCCAAATTTCAGATTTTCCTATTTCCAATTTAGCTCTTTTTGGAACTCAAGGTGCTACATCTATTGATCTTAATACTTAAGAAATTTTAAATTCCTTGGCAAAGGCTTACTCACTACGAAGTATGGTTCAAGTCTTAGCTCAATTTTTTTTTGGGGTGTTACATACTCCTTACATCCCAACTGAACTTCCACAACTACAACCTACATACGACCAACCCAATTTAACAATTCACAATTTACACAACACACAATTCAACAACAGTAATTTAACAATTATATATTCCTCTACAACAAACTCAATATTCATCAATCACATCTTCCACAGAAAGACACTCACAAGATCAACAAAACGCAATATCAAGTTCACTAATGATAAAGATGTTCAGTGCAATTGAATGCAATTTCAAGTATAATGATGCATATCTGACCTAGTGATACACACCCGGTGTCTCTCAATCATGGACTCATGAGAGACATATCTGTCCATGCATCCGTCGCGGCGCACGGCACGTTCCTCGATAATAGTATCCATCACGGCGAGCGATACGTCCATCAATATACGGTATCAATCACGGCGTACGATATATCCCTCGAAATATAGTATCCGTCGCAGCGCGCGATACGTCCCTAGAAATGGTACATCCTTTTTAATTTCTTACTCTTTCTCAATTCACATTATACTCGTCACAATCATGTCTTAGAACAATGCAAATGACACGTTCACACAAATAATTTGGAGATGATCATTTTCATATTAATGCACAATTCACAACAACACAATCGTGACAAAACATCAACAATGAGTCAATAAGCCTTTCAAACCATTCTTAACACCATCACACGCCAACAATTAATTACATTGCCTTTTATCACCCATTTTTCATCATTATAATTAATCGATATGGACAAGTCAACCCATCACCAAATCTCATTACCCCCAAACACATATTATAAGGAAGCACAAGAATTCCATATACTTAACAAGGGTTTAGAAATCCACCTGCCTCAAATAGTCGAACAATCACTCAGGGTCTTGAGTCTTATCCTTTCATTGGACTTTCAGATAAATGAAATCTATTCCAATAAGTAACCACACTAATATTTTAAAACTGACAACATACGTATTATATGTGTCTAATGTAGACCCAAAAAGTTACCCAAATCTATAATAAAGTTCCCAAGTTTCAAGCCTAAATTTAAATCTTAATTCCTCTGAATAACATAATTCCAATGACATCAAAAAGAAATATCAAGAAAATTATAAGTAACTTCCCAGCAAACTGGCGTTGTAGCAACAAGAGGAATCCAATTTGATTCCTTTGTTTTTATTTTCAAACCAAAGTCCCTTAATATTAATCATTGGATAATCATTATCCAAAATAGTAGCTAAACAATCATTGGCAACACCCTATTGCTTCAACCTTGCACCCGTCAACCGTCCCACAATTTACACTGAAATTACCCGATATAACTTTATAATAATTTCTCCAATATCTTACACATGTGACCTTCTACAAGAAAAAGTGATTTGGATAATCAAGAATAAAGAATTTTTAATGGATACCTGCTCATTCTTAAAGTGGTGATACCACATCACTGCTTTTTGCCGCATTGGTGAGCTTCTACCTCTCTTTTTCCTTTTTCACAAATTGTGGATTAAAATGTTAAGCTCCGCTAACTTATTTTAATATAGGTCAAATAGTATAGGATATCGAATAAATTATGACACTGACCCATTAACACCAACTTAAATTAACTATTTAAAATCATCCGTCAACTAAACAATCATACTAATAAATAATTCAAAAATTTTCAAATCAACTTCTTGAATTGATCTAAAGTGACCGGAATAACTATTAAGATGAGTAAAGCGGTAATTTTATAAAAAATTCAAAACTTATTTTCTGGGTCATTACAAATCCACTTGTTTTTCAAGAAAACATTTTCCTCCGTACGAAACACGCCCATAATGAAATTGTATATAATATTTATATGAAGAACAAAAGAACACACTGTAGATCTTTTTCTTCATCTGGACATGATATGTTTTTCCAGTTCTTTTGGCAAATATTCTTCGTCAAACCTAGGAGTTGCAAACGAGCCAGTTGAGTCGACTATGAGTCGATCAAAAAACGAGTTAAACAAAAATGAATAAGTTACTCGATTCGACTCATATATATATATATATTTTAAATGGGTAGAGTTACCCAATGAATAATATGGGTAACTATTTTCCCATGTTATATTAGAGATCCTGTTAAAACTTTAAAAAAAGAAAAGAAAATTAGCACTTCACTCCACCCCTATCAGCCCCTCCCCCTCCAAAAAAGAAAAAGAAAATGTAAAAAAAAATAATAATTCCACCCAACCCCCTATCAGCCTCCCCCCCCATCCCAAAAAATATTTACAAAATTTTAAATTTTTTTATTAATTTTTTTTTAAAAAAATTACCACCCTCGTACCAACCCTCCCCCCCCCCCCCACTCCACACCCCCGTCCAAAAAAAAATCTTAATTTTTAAAAAAAATTTAGAAAATATTACCACACCCCAGCCCCCAACCACTAGCCCCCCCCTCCCCCTCAACAACCCATCCCTAAAAACAATTAACCAAATTATTAATTTTTTCATTACTATTTTTAATTTTTTTTTGAAAAAAAATTACTACCCGCTCCCTAGACCCCCTCCACCCCCACTGCCTACTAGCCCCTAGCCCTTACCACCTACCAGCCCCCCACCCCACCCTACCCCACCCCTATCCCCTACCATCCCCTTTTTCAAATCAAATGTAAAAAAAGTTTCATTTTTTTTATAGATTTTTTTAAAAACTTTCTAACTACCCAATCCTATATCGTGTTTTTTTTGTTTTACCTATTTTATCCATTTAACTATCCACTTTTTAATGAATAATATGGATATTACTCGTTTTTTATTCATTTTTTAATGAGTTGGATACCCAATTCATTTAAAATGGATAATATGAATGGATACCCATATTATTTATCCATTATGCCATCCCTAGTCATACCAAATACATGGACAAAATTATGATTGTATACAACTCTCTTCACTTATTGTTTTTTTTTTTAAAATTCAAGTAAGAAAGACTAGAGTCGTGTACAATAACTTAGGTTAATGAGTTGATGAGATCTATATATACATTTAGTAGCGGCTAAATGCTTCATCATTTTCTTTCAAATAAACAAACAAAATTGAGCTTGAATGGAACTGAACAAGACTTTTTAAATGCATAAAAATTTCGAAGGGCATTATTATTTAGAAAACAAAGCTTTAGTACATGGTTACAAGGCAAAGATCTGCTTCTAAGAAGCCTTTTCTGAATGTAGCTATTTGTTAATACAAACTGGCAAAACATAATATTTGCCTACTACCAAGAGTACCCTCTACTAACTTGAACACGCTTGAGCAGACATAGCATCCATTTTCTCACTTGTAATCCCAGCATTGCAGATGTTGGCGATACCACGTACATGTTTCCTTCCGTAAACTGTTAATCTTCCACAATGTGTTTCAAATATCTTGACCTATTATAAAGAGTTGAGTAGTCATATTTTCATCAAAAGAACAAAACACGAAAATTGAACTGAAATAACAAAGAAAACATTGCTTTTATCACCATGTTAAATACTTACATAAGACTTAAGGCAATCCCAGTTATCAACAAGTGGTTGTCCAGCAGGTCGAACGCTGTGTAGTATCTCATTACCTTTTTCAACACCAAAAAGAAGATCCGCTAGATGTTTTACATTGTTGTCAACTTGACTTCTCTGTGACATAACTTCATTTAGTTTCACACGAGCTTCATATTTCTCATCAGAGCCTTCAGGAGCATTTTGGTGCTGCAAACATTAAGAAAGAACATTACTGAATCATGTATAGGAAGATGAATCTCCATCAAAAAGAGGTAGAGAACATACTTTTATGACCAAATAGAAAAGTTCAGTACTTCTCTGATCCACATTCCTTGATGATGATGTTGAGAATGACTTTGCATCCACAGAGTCATGGCTGTGATTTTTGGAAGTTTCACCCATATATACAACAAGAGGATCAAAACTCACCACTTTATCACCATATTCTTTGACATGGGAGCCATACTTATCATATGTTAAGTTGGCAGCAGTTCTTTTTGCAACCTGAGCGACAAAATGAAATCATAAATCTTTCATGAAAATGGAATAAAGAAAACATAGGCATTGCCCAAACAAATTGCTTAAAATATATGCAATATTTGTCCATATATAACTGTATAAACTCTTACTCGAATATACTGCCCATGCAAGGTGTTAGTTTTTCTATCTTGTACATCACTGTTCATAGGTGCAAACAATAATTAGTTTGACATAATTCAACATTTCAAAGTATAAATGATCAGAAAAAAATTTACTAGAATTTATTCTTTTTTCTAACAATGTGAACTACGAGAACAGAGGTTATAAAAATTCTTTATACCTATCTTCCATCCAGGCAACACTGAACAAGTCTCCTAAGCAAAGACCCTTAAACTCCGGAGGGGGGCACTGACCCCAACAGGAATCAATAGGAGTACTCTCACCACAGTATGTGCCAAAACTATCTTCATTGGGTTTAGATGCAGTCATGGCATAGATATTAAGTCCTTTGGGGAGAATACCGTCAAATATGCTTCCAGATTCACAGGCTTCTAGGTAAAACACCTGAACATCATCCAACATAAAATACAAATTTTAAATTTCATTGATCAAACATTTGAGAAAAGGGAAAGAAAGCTTGAAAAATCTAAAGCAAGCAAGTTACCAGTTTGTCATACGTCTTTGATGCATGCTTCTTTTTCAACACGTTAAATAGTTCATCTGCATAAATCGGCTCTCCACTTGGCATTACTGATAAACAAGAAAACAATTATGCATATATCAGTTCCAAAGTATCACAAATTGCATGCTTTGATTTGTAACGAGCATTAGCTTAATTATCCAATTGCCTAACTATGTCATTAGACGGAAATTTTCCCATTATCCATATATTCGATAACCAAGTGTATAACATTCAATCGTGATTTTGGAATTTCTTATTAGAATTTTACATTTTCACAACTTCAAAATAGGGTCTCATTTCTCACATAATCACTCAAGTAATAAATTTATTATGTCAGAAAGTCACATTTCTTCTTGATTCCAATTCTTTTCAACAAACAAACTAACTTTTTGAGATAATAACTACTTCCATTGTCCCAATTTAAGAGTCACGAAGTTTAAGACTTTTTGATCTTGTGGTGTTAAACTTGCATATGGAATATCAAAATTGAAAAACTTACTAAATGTAAAAAGAAACTTGACAGACCAAAAAGGAAAGTAAGACGCATAAATTTGGACAAAAGGTGTATTAGTTGAGTAAACAAAATTAATGCAAATAAGATACTTACTAATCATTCCAGGGCTACCATGATCAGTATAGTATATGAAGATATGGTCATTTGGACCACTCTTCAAAACTTTACCACTTCCCCCAACAACACCACTTTTGTTGGCAAGGATGACATTGAAAAAGTTTTTAGCATTAACATCATCACCTACATAATCCTGCCTCAACAAAAAGAGAAGAGAAAACCTTCTTTAGCTAACAAACACTCTAATAATCTTGAAACTTCCCAAAAATTGAACACAAAAAGAACAAACCTTTGGGACACCTTTATAAACATTATGACCATGTGGGTTATTGATTATGACACCAGGTCTAGGGTTTGCTGTATTGTTAGCAATATCATCGTACATGAATACAATGATGTTCTCATCCTTAAGACCACCAACCTTCAATATTTGGTAAGCGTGGCACACATCAGCCTAAAATTATACAATCAAGTTATATTCACATTTTTGTAGCTATGATGAATTGTTTGACTTGACACAAAATTTAAAACAGAAATAAATATTCTTAAAATTTGTTAATTTGTATTACTCCTGATCAACTATAAATCATTTATCAACTATGAAATAATATTTTAAAGTTACATTGTTTTCATTTGTTGAAAGGTAATTTAGTTTTTGAACGGCTAAAAAGTGTGTTAAATTTGATTAGAGTAATTTTCTTTAGTACATATTAAGTGAATTGAGAGAAATTTTTTATAGAATATATAAGTGATTTTTTTTAGAGTTCAAGATAAAATAAGAGTGTGGGTATATAGTTCTTATTTCTTCTTTTTATTTTGATTAAAATGTATTTCTTCTTTTTTTGGGTGAGAATTTCTAGGTAGTTAACACTTGCTTGAACTTTATTATTCTATGTGACTTCATTCAATATATGCCTATTAAACACAAACTCTGGTAAAATAATGCGTTTTGGGACTATAAGTTGGCAGTAATTTGATATTATCAAATACAAAAAGAGTTTAAAGTTTTAAGTCAAATAAAAGTATTAGATTTTTCAACTTTACATTTTGTGAATTTCTTGATTTTTTTGTGGTTCGGTGTGAATCATCTTCAGGCACTAATTGTAGGACAATCAAATTCAATTATATCAAGACCTATAGGAAACATAAACAATCAATAATAGTCACATGATTCACAAAACACAAGAAAAAATTGATAGATGTTGATGAAGATATAATCGGATCACTTAAGTTACCACAAATAATTAAATAATCAAACATTCACATCGTAGTAAAACATTCACATCAATAATGTCATGTATCCATCATCAAGACTAGTAGTTAATGTTTACAAGGAATTGAATCATAAAAAAATTGTTAGGCTATATATATATATAAAAGAATAATTTCGGATGATAACCTGATGCCTATAATTAATCCAGCCACGAGACCCAGCAACTAGGACAGCCCATTTGGTTCCTTTTGTTTTTCGGGTTAAGAATTGAGAGATACTATGACCTTCAGTATTAACAGATATTGAGACCAAAACAAGGAAAAATACACCAATATTATACCTAGATATCATTTTTTTTAAAAATTAACAAACAAACCAATCAGCTAGGATGGAGAATATTGAGCTTGGTGTATGACAAATTTATAGAAAATATGTCAAGAACTTGACAATTATTTATTGCACTAGCATTAATTTGGTTATAGATTATTAGGATATCAATTTTTGTGTAAATGTTTGTTTGACAATATCTTTTGAGAATTATGTTTAAATAGTTAATTGACAATATCTTTAAATAATTATTTTGACCAATTTGACAGGATTTTGTCTGATATTTATTTTTATTCAACTTCTCTAGCTTTTAGGACATTTCATTCACAGAACTTTAAAAAAATTCAAGTAAAATGAATGTACAAACACAACTTCAAAAACTCGAAAAGGGATAAGGGTCTGATATACCCCTCAACTTTGTCATTTAGAGCTGATATATCCCTCGTTATAAAAGTTACTCATATATGTCCTTACTGTTATACAAACGGCTTACATATACCCCTGGCGTTACAAAATGAGTCACATATACCCTTCATTTAACGGAAGTTAAAAAATTAGTTTTAAATTTATATTTATTCCTTCAAATTTTTTTTTAAAAATTATTTAGGGGTATATATGATTCTTCTATCAAAGTTCAAGGTATATTTTAATTTTTTTCATACATAAATTATTTTTTGACTTCTTTTATTATAATTATTTGAGTTTCTTATTCTTATTTGGTTTTTTCTTATATTCCTTAGTTTAAAGAGAAAAAAATAAAACTATTTCTTTTGTATGTATTGTAATTTAATTTCGTATTCGAATAAAAAATTTGGTCATCTACAATAAGTTTTACAAGAATATTAGTGAAACCTAAATATATTTGATTATCAAAATAATAATTATAAATTAGTCATTGAAACAAAAAAAATCAAAAAAATGTTTGACGAGGATTAAATTTACTCATATAGGATTATATTTTTTAGAAAAAATTAATAAAAACTTAGATTAAAATTATTATTTTTTTCATTTCCGTTAGAGGAAAAGGATATATGTGAGCCATTTGTTTACAAGTAGGGGTATATATGAGCCACTTTCATAACAAGGGTATATCAGCTCTAAATGACAAAGTTGAGGGGTATATCAGACCCTTTTCCCACTCGAAAATTTTAACTGTTAACTTTAAAATTTATGATTGTATACACTCTCCTGAATTACCACTTTTCAAAAAATTGTAAATTAGAAGGGCTAGAATGGTGTACAATAACTCAGGTTAATGAGTTCATGGGATTTACATATGCTAAAAGATTCATTATTTCCCCCAAATAAACAAACAAAATTGAGCTTGGATAGAACTGAGCAAAACATAGTATTTGCCAACTGCCAAGAGTATCCTCTACTAACTTGAACATGCTTGAGCAGACATTTTCTCACTTTTAATCCCAGCATTGCATTGAAGATATTGGCAATACCACATACATGTTTCCTTGCATGCGCTGCTAATCTTCCACAATGTGCCTCAAATATACCTATTTTCAGGAATAGGCTAGTCATATTCTCATCAAAAGAAAAAAACAAAAACAAAAAAAGAACTGAAATTCCACAAAAAAAAACATTTGCTTTTTTTGGCAAAGTTAAATAATTACATAGGACTTAATTGACTCTCCCGCTCATGATGATAATAGATTCTTTGTAACTGTTGTTAATGATTGTAGTAGAATGTTGTGGTTTTTTCATATCAAATTGAAGAGTGATATTCGTGTTGTGTTGATAAACTTCTCCGTTCTGGTGAAAACTCAGTTTAATTCCTCTGTTCAAACTATCAAAAATGATAATAGTTCTGAATTTATTAATGTTGAATGTTACAAATTGTTCACCTGCCTAGGTATTATTCATCAAAGAACTTGTATTCACACTTTACAACAAAATGGGATTGCTGAGAGAAAAGATAAACTGGAAATAGCAAGGGCAATCAAATTTCAGGGCACATACCTATAAGATTTTGGGGTCATTGTATTCATGGTGCTGCCTACATTATTAAAAGGCTTTCTGCACCTGTATTATATTGTAAGTCTCCCTATGAAGCCTTTCACAAAGTAAAGCCTTCTATGCAATATATGAGGGTCCTAAGTTGTTTATGTTTTGCAAAAAATATGCATATTCAGGATGAATTTCAGCATAGAGGTGTAGTTTTCATACACATGAGATATAATGAACACACCAAAGACCTCCATAGGGATGTTATGTTCAGAGAGTCTGTGTTTCCCTTTTATTGTTCCAGCTTCTACTACATGGAGGCTACTTCCCTCCACTTTTTCCTCATACATTGATCCTGCTATCATTACTCTTATCACTGCTCTTGTTGATCCAGCTGTTCACGTTGAGCCGATCCCACTATTTCCCCAATTATGCCTGATCGAGGTGCATCAAAGCACCTTCATGGATTAAGGACTATGTAGCTTCTGTTAAGCTCAACCATAACTCCAAGACAATCTATTCCATTGACCATTATCTTGAGTATGAATATTTGACCCCTTCCTATCAAGCATTTCTTTCGCACTTTGGTACTGATGTGGAACCTTCTCTTTGAGGAGGTTAGTACAGATCCTAGATGGGTGGAAGCAATGTCTGCTGAAATAACAGACCAAGATGCCAACAAAACCTGGACAATTGTTCCATTACCTAGACGCAAGAGACCTATTGGTTCCAAGTGGTTCTTTAAAATCAAATACCAAGATTCTGGTGAGGTTGATAGATTTAAAGCTAGATTAGTTTGTAAAGGTTAAATCAAAGGGAGGGACTATACTACCAGGAAACCTTCTCACCAGTGGTTAAAATGGTTACCAACAGAAGTATCTTTGCCCTTGCTTCAACTGATAAATGGCATATCCATCAAATAGATGTTTTAATGCATTTTTTTTCAGGGGTGACTTACTTGAAGAAGTCTATATCACACTTCCTCGGGGATTTCAAGTTCTTAAGGGATTTAATGTGCTGGGGAGAAACCAACATGTTGGTCCATTAAATCACTATACGAGTTGAAACAAGCTCCTAGGCAGTGAAATGTAAAACTCTAGGAGGCTCTCATCAAACTTTACTTTGCTCAAAGTCATTTAGACTATTCATTGTTTAAAAAAAGGACTGGTGCATCCTTGGTGATAATTTTATTCTATTTAGATGACATGATGAGCACTGGAAACAATCTCAGCCTTATTCAGGCAACAAAAGGAATTCTAGAAGACACCTTTAAAAGGAAAGACCTAGGAGATCTATGATTGTCAGGCGCCGAGCTATCCCCAAGACGCGGACACGAGATCTATGATCATAAGTGACCCAAGCTAACCTTTTTGGCATGACACGAGCATACTGAAGATAAAATGAGCAATAAATATGTGCGGAATTTAAAGATGATGAAAATGAAAGTGATGGGGAATAGCCATATACTAAACTAAATATATGATAAATTGAGAGTTTAATACAAAGAGAAATATCAAACTCATATACTAAGTTGAATCTAACTATGTATGAAATAAGCCTCTAAACTGATAAAAATGTCAGGACATGCCCCAACTAGATCTATCAAAAACATAAACTAAAGACTAAAAATGATAAAGTTAAACATGTCACTAGTCTCCGAAGAATGAGGACTCACAGTTGATGCTGCTGAAATGAAGATCAGGAACCGATCTATGCATGGTCTGACTGCTGGAGACCCCAACCTACATCACGAGAAGATGTAGCATAATATATGCGTTAGTGCTTGGAAGGTATTGAGCATAAGGAGTAGAATAAAGCTGAAATAAACATATAACTAAAACAAGAAAAGGAAGAGCATAAATAGAACATGATATACATACTGAAATGCTAAACATGATTAAGATGAATGCAACGACCATGTTCTAACATGCTAAGGCTGAATACTGAAACATGGTTAATATAATGGAGTCTAACTGGACTGTAGGAGCTACTAATAACTGATGATAAAATCACATGAGCTAAATGTGGAATTACATGTATACGGCCCATCGAAAAGATTCAATATACTAAGCCAAAGGTATAGAGGCATGCTAGCATGATCACTAAAATGATGCCCACGAAGGAGAGTTACAACCTACATGACTCGTAGTTCTGGGACTATATGGGTACGCTGAATCCTAGTCCAACTCGGTATTATCCTACTCCGAATATATTAAGCGATTAACATATTATGACTGAATTTCTATAATACTGGATAGCTCAAAATGACATGCAAACTGGAATGTGCATAAATAATTGATAATGACACATTCAAAATGAGGCATGTACATCTGAAATACTGAACTATCTAACTTAGCATGTGTAATTCAAGAACTAAAGAAATACATGGCTAGGGTTCTTAAATTCATACAAGAAACAAAGTAATAACATGATAATCTGATTTGCAACATGTAAACAACTAGCTCATGATGATCCGCTAAATTTTTAAAAAACCTAGGTTTAATCATGATAAAGGAATAAAAAATCTGACTGAAATCTTGGGAACTAATGGATGAAAGGAACCCCTTAGTGAAATCCCACATACCCGGTGATGAATTCGACAGAGAAATCTTTTGATTTCGGGGATGAAACCGATGAAAACTTAACACATTCTTGGAGCTAGTGTTAGGTCGACTCTTTCTTCTCTTTCGCTTATAATTTCTAAGTTTTGATTAATTATTTGACTTAGGTAAGTTATAGTTATGTTTCTAGGATTAAACTGACTAAATGTAACACCCTAGAAAAAAATTTGAATTAAGACTCAAACCGTTCATCGTAATGAGTGAGATTTTACCGAAGAATTAAAATTTCTTAAGTATTAAGGTCAATTTACTAGATTTAGCACCAAGGGTTCCAAAAAAGAACTAAATTAGTAATAGCAAAATTTGAAATTTTGAGAGTTAAGTTAAGTATGAGTTTTGGGTCAACTTCAAATGACCATAACTTCTAGTACATGATGAGTAAGGCTTTTTAAAAGATATCATAGGAAAAATCTTGGAATTATCTTTCAAACTCCACCAAGTTTGCTAAGTTTCGAGTTCGGATGAGTGAGATATGACCTTTTGAAGTTAGGTTGTCCAGTTAAGGAAAGTTAGTCAAAAATATAAGGGGTATTTCGGTCCTTTCCTTATCCAATCGGATTTAATTTGTTTTTAGTAATACTTTAGGGGTATAATACTTTCAGGTTCAGTTTTATAATCCTAATATATGCCTAGGATTTTAGTTGAGAGTTCAAGAAGAGACAAGAAGAGAAAAGAAGTTAAAAGAGGAAATGATTAAGGCGTACATTGACGTTCTTGAGTTAGTTGCCGATTTTCATCATGGGTTTAATATCTAAGGGGTATTTAAGCTTCCATAATGTTGGTTTAGTTCACCCACATGTCAATCATCTTATTTTTAGTGAAGTTTCATTCTTAAAATTGAAAGATTAGAGTTCTTGATGAGTTCTTGATAGGTGTTCTTGAAGTTCATTCTAAATCTTGTGGTGTTAGGGGTTTGATGATTTATTGATATTAAATTGAGTAATTTGACTATTTTTCAGTATATTATATTGTAATTAAGTTAAGTAATCGAATCCAAGTGATTAGGGAAGAAACCGTTCGATTTTAGGCGATTTAGGTTGAGAAACGAGCAAAGAAGTTCAGGGGCTTACCCCCCATGCAACCCATAGCTCCAGGGTCTCCTGCCATATCCAGTTTACCTCCGGTTGCTCCGTTTGAGTTATTCAAAGTGCATATTCACTAATTTTTCATTATAAATAATCTAAGCTACTTCTAAACACCTAAAATCAGTCCTATAATGATAATAACCTTGAATTCATAATTCAAATTCAATGTATAGTTGAGATTTATGTTTTGAGAATTCTTTCGAGCATACTAAGAATGTTCCTTTGAGTCCTTTTGAGGAGTCTTCTACAAGTTCTAGTAACTTGTTTCAAGAGTTGAGCAAGTGAGTATGAGAACTATTCATGAGTCTAGCTTTTCACCATGAGAGTTTCTATGTTATGAACCAAAACTCTTCAATTCATAATTTACATTCAAGAGAGGGAGTTAAGAGTAAAGTTCAAGAAAGCTTTTGAGTTCAATTTTTAATACTTTGATGTATACCATTGATTTGAACTTAGTTTTGAGGAAGTAAGTAAGAGAATGAAAAGATTTTAATGCATGAGTTCCATCTAGATACTTAGACACTCAAGTTGAGTCGTTCATGCCCTTAACTTCTGCATGAGTTCCATAAATTGAGTATCATTGAGAGGAGTAGTATCTCCAAGTTCTAAGTCTTGAGTTATTTTTAACACCTTTGAAATTATATTTCTAATCATGGGACTATTTCATGTGACCCATGAAATCCTTGAGTTGAATTGTTCATGCCCATAATTTCACATAAACCCTATAAGTCGAATAATCTTGAGATGATAAGTACCTTTGGGTTCTCGAGTTGAGTAGTTCATGCTCATAATTTCGCATGAATCCTCCAAGTTGAAAATCATGAAATCATCCATAAACATGAGATCATGAACCTTGAATATATACTTCAAT